TGGTGATTTTGGGACACCTCATCTGTCACTGGGCACAGTCAGCCTTCATGGGGCTGCTCCTTGCCTGAAGGGCTGCTGTCAGCAACCTAGCCAAATAAGGCCACTTCAGTCCTCCTCCTCCACCTGACTTAATCTTATCTCAGCATTACTGTACCTTGAGGTGACTGAGGGAGCACTCGGATCAGAGGGACCAACCTCTCTCCATCTGTCTGGAGATTCACAGCACTGTTGTGTTCCTGCTTTAATTCATGTTCATAAATCTGCAGTTCTGCAGCCTTGTGGCCATTCTCTGTAACACTGGAGTAGCCTTTTTTTAGGGCATTGGTCTCTCCCCTACACATAGGGTACATTTCACCAACACAGAAAGCTGCCCTCTGAGTTAGAGACCAGGGATGATCCAGGTTCCCAGTTGTCAAAATAATTCCAGGCCCCCAATGTTCTGCTGCTTCCTGCTCACTCAGAAACAGAGACCTGTATCACATATTCTGTCTCAGACAGCAGTTGGCTGTGCTGCTGTCTTAAGTTTAGCCAGTCCAGAGAGGAGCAGGCCCTCTCTTTAGCCTCCACACCTCTCTATTTATGCTCCACTCTCTCTGGTTCCCTGTCCGAGTCATCTGAAGACAAGGGTAATACTCCAAATGCTTTAAATCAGCTGTTGTGAGGATTCTCAGACATTTTACTGTCCTGCCATTCACCATCCTCTTGACATTTTACTGTCCTGCCATTCACCTTCCTCTTCTCCTGCAGCAGCTCTTTCTTTGCTGGCCTAAATTCCAGAGGTGAAGAGTGATTTTGTTTTGTTTTAAACAGCAAATACCTGCAAGAAGAAAGCCAGGAGAAAAGAAACCTGGAGCTGGCTTTTTCTGAGTGGACTTTTCACAGCATGGAGCCACACATATGTGAGCACTCCTTGGATTTGGAATGGGAACTGGAACTCCTGGCTACAAAATCAGTGTGGCTGCAACCCACGTTGTACCCCAACGGCAAGTGCTGACAGTTCTTCAAGTGAACTTTGCTTTAAAGGATTCACAGGGTGTTTATGTATCTTCTCTGCCTCTTTCTGCCATGTCTTCATACTGAACAATTTTTGCTCCTCTTTTCAGGATCACATGCCTTACTTCTGCAAGAAGATGGTGTGGGAAATAATCCATCAGCAGCTGCTGTGAGAGATGCACTACCAAAATAACACTGTGATCACCTCTGGGTGACTTAACTCTGTATTTTAGTTATTTTCTGGTATCTTACTTGAAAAGGCAACAGGCACACGAATTTCTTCTTTGGAAGAATTCCCTCGGCTCTGGGTCAAAGATGGTGATTTTGGGGACATCTCATCTGTCACAGGGTACAGTCAGCCTTCATGGGGCTGCTCCT